TGACATGCGTTCTGTTCCGCTGCACATGGGTCGACCCCACACGTGGCGTGCGCAAAAATCCGAAGTATAATATGATTGACGTCAACCTCTCTCGTGTGTACCCGAAAAATGAGCCTTTCATACTCGCCCAACAAGCAGCGCAGATTTATTATGCAGAATATCCTTCAACAAGGCGGACACAGAATCCTTGGGTGTGTGCATGTCCTGTCCATCCGAACAAAATTAAATCACAAACTCAACACAAGGACGTTGATCTAGATGCTTTTCAGCAACAATTTTTCCAACCTCCGCCTATTGTTGAGACGGTCAACTATAACGTCCAATTAAGTGATCCAAATGGCGGACGTGTTGAAGTCATGCCAGAAACGCACCTTCCGGACCCAACCATTCCATCTGAGCGCGAAATTGAGGAAATGTATGTAGCACAACAAAATGCTCAATATCAGGAAGAAGGTGAATGGATAGACGGTTCAGATACAGAAGAAGATACTGTATATGTAGAAAATGACGATTCTGATAGCGAATAATTGTGCTGTTGTAATTTCAATTTTATTGACTTCTAATATTTGTGCAGATTTCTTCATCATTATATTACTCCAACAATATTTGAATTTTTTTCTATCTTTATCATTATTATTTATGAACAAAAAATTACTCCATATTAATTCAACCACAACAAGTTTTTTATATCCATATTATAAATTCAAAATAAAATTTTTCACAATTCGAAGTTTGAAAATTAAAATTTACCCAATACAAAATATGAAATTACTCTATATTATATTCTTTTATTTTCAAATTCGAAAATTCAAATATTATTTTTGATTTTTCTAAATTCGAAAATTTATTTTAATAATTTTTAATAATTCGAAATTCGAAAATTAATTTTAATAATTCTAAGTCTATTCGAAAATTAACAAAATTCGAAAATTAAAAAAACAGTAATCTACTTTTACTAATCTGAATATTATAATAAATTTAGATATTAATAAACAACTAACAGATATGAAAAACCTTATTTTCAATAATTTTATATAATGTTAAATAATCAAACCAAATCTTATATAAATAAATACTATTAATTTTTTTAAGTGACGAACAAGTGTTCACGGGCATCAAAAACATCATCGGAGGACACTTTCTTGGCACTTGGGCCACACTGTCAGATGTTGACCCCAAGGTTCGCGAACTATGGTGGAACCTGTTCAAGGTAAAAATAAATGAATGTTCTCTTCCTGATTGTATTGGCCTAATATATACCTGGTGATTAATTAATCCAATTTGTTTTAATAAAGGCTCGCTATCGTTGGACTCACGCTCACGGTGCCGATATTCTTAAAGCCTACAATGCTAGGATTTCGACCTGGCTTCGCGCCACTTTTAAACGTGCACGAAAAAGTGGGAAAAAGCCTAGATGGGTTTCGGATGAAGTGTGGTCCAACCTTTGTCGCCACTGGTCTTCTGATCCGAAATTCTTGGCCAGAAGTGAATCCGGTAAGAAAAACCGGATGTCCGAGAAGGCCTTGGAGATGCAGTGGCACGGAGGTCGTAAATCTCAGAATGCCCATAAAGAAACTCTTGTAAGTGCTATTCAAAAAACCTTACAACATCACATTCCTTCATTATAAAAAATTTAATTAAGTCTTTTTCGCACCATTTAGGCTGGTCCTGAGAAGAAGAAGGTTGATGTTCTCCGGCTCGTCAAGCATTGCTGGACGAAGCACGGCGAGGAATCTGAAGCCGATTTGCCACCCCGCCTCGCTGACTTCGAAGTATGTAACATCATATTTTGTTATTTAGTAACATTTCAAATCTAACTATGTAGCATTAAAAAAATCTTTTTGAAAATGCAGACGAAGTACAACGAATCCCTCGACAGGCAGCGTGCGGCACGAGGCTTGACCCAGGAGGACGACCTCGATTCCGATGCGGATGATGAGGCGGCCATTGAGGCGGCCGGGGTTTACAAGGGCCGGGTTCCGTGCTTGGGGGCCGAGGGGCAACGGATTTTGTATGATCGAAGCACCGGCGCTTCCTCTTCTCGGTCAAGGCGGGGAGAAGATCCCCGTATTGCCACAATGCAGCGTGAACTAGAGGAGCACGAACGGCGATGGGAGGAGCAGCGGAAAGCAGATGCTGCCACAAAAGCCCGGTTGGAGGAGATGGAACGGTACATGCGTGCCGGATTCCAGCCTCCGCAACAGCCTTTTCCTCCCCCGTACGTATTCCACCCTGAGCAAACTCCTCAAGTTCCGCACATGGGCGGTATGGGATTTTTCCCCAACTCCGGATATGGTGGCATGCCTATGATCTCCCCGAATTTCGGTTCTATGTCCTTTGATTTTGCGAGGTCATCCGGAGGAGGTAGTGGCACACCGAGCCACGGAGGCCGAGGAGCACCCCGAGGAGGACCCCGAGGAGCACCCCGAGGAGGAACCCGACCTGACCCTGAAGACCCCCCCGTGAACCCAGATGAGTTTCTTGTTGATGATGAAGAAGAAGAAGAAGAAAATCCCAATTTTTATCATAATGGAGTCCCACAGGACATGTAATCATCATACATTTATTATTTGTTGTATTTCAAAACTTTTAAAAGTTTGTCACAATAATTATTGAATTTGTTGTATGTTTTTACTCTTATAATGTATTTATTTTAAAAAAAATAGTATAATATTTTCAAGAACTCATTTTTCAAAAAACATTTTGAAATTTAATTTGTAAACTTCCGTTTTTAAAAAAGTAATTTTTAAAAAAATTTAAAAAAAAAAAACGAAAACTGGATTTTTTTTTTAAAAAAACAAAAAAAGTAGTCACGGGCTTATCCGTGACTATTATTAATCCGAAATTATTATTTTTTTAAATAAAAAACCAATTAGTCACGGTCGACACCCGTGACTAATTTCAAAAATTTAAATTACCGCCGCGGGCGGTCTTTTAAAAATTTTGAAAATTTGAAATATTAGTCACGGTCCAAAGCCGTGACTACTAAAATTAATTTTTAAAAAAACTTAGTCACGGTCCATGACCGTGACTAATACGCCGGAGTGGGGTTCCGGCGGGTATTATAGTCACGGCTTCTGACCGTGACTAAACCGTGACTAAATTTAGTCACGGTTTGTTGGACGTGACTTCAATTTAGTTAGGGCTGGGTCCGAAAAACCGAAAACCGAAAACCGAATCAAATTAAATCGAACCGTAGTCAAATTAAACCGAACCGCTAACAAACCGAAACCGAATGTAAAAAACCGAACCGAACCGAAGTTGTTTGATTCGGTTTTGGTTTTTACCCTTCAAAACCGAACCGAACCGAACAAACCGAACTATTTAAAATATAAAATTTATATGTTAATTGTTAAGCATTAATTCTAATTAATCTTAATACCATCAATAGTCTTTGGTTTTTTTGTGTTAGAAAAATATTGTTTGTGTTATGTTTAATTGAATTTAGTTTATAAATTCATTTACACATTCATTGCTTGTAATAATGTAGCTATATTGAATGATGATAATATGTGTTTACTAGTTATTAGTAGTAAATAACTTTTATTTTTAGATAACTTAAAGATTTTATATTGATAAAACAATAAATATTCATCTCAACTATATCACATAGAACATATATATTTTGATGAACTTTTTTTGAACCAGTCACAAACAAATTAAATCAATAATATATACAATTGTATCTATCCGGCATACTCATACAATTCAAGACATATTTATCTAGCCCTTCTCAATTTTGTTTTATTTGTTGTTGTATTGTGCTTGCATTCTTTATGTAATATGTTTGATCCTCTAAGTATTATATCAATTTTAAATCAAGTGATTTATTTTTTTGGTAAAAAACCGAAAAAACCGAAACCGAACCGAAACAAACCGAACCAATCAAACCATGGTTCCAACTTTTGGAGTGTAAAACCGAACCGAAACCGAACCGAACTTTGTACTTCGATTCTACATTTGGTTTTAGGTCAAAACCGAACCGCAAGAACCGAACCCACCCCTAAATTTAGTCACGCCCATTAAGTCACGGATTTAGTCACGGGCAGCGACCGTGACTACATCATTTAGTCACGGAAAAATTAAACTGCTGTCCGTGACTAATTCCGTGACTACGACCGTGTTTTTTTGTAGTGGATACAATCATGCATGACAATAATAATTACTTTTATTATTAAATTTCTCTTATATTTAATAATAAAATAATAAATTCGTAGTACTATGTTAAATAATTTAAATGCAATTAGTGTGATTAGTCATTTTTTGGAAAAAGTAAAATGAATCATATTTTTGAAATTGAAAACAAAATAATAGAGCCCATAGGTGTCATTTTGTTAATACAATTTATTGTTTGTTGTTCCAAAAGATGAAATCTCCAACCCAGGAGCCCCACACCCCGACCCGATAGGATGGTGAAGAAATAAGTCACAGTGACTCAGTCGGCCCAATGATGATAGACTTTATACTCGTGCGCAACAGAGGTTCAGCCCATCACGCAGGAGCTGTAACCTTCACAACCGCTGCGGATTTCGAACATTGGTCATTGTTTCAAATTTCTCACCACTCAACCAACTGAGTTATCCATGCGGGTTTCACTACAAAAAAATGCGGGATTGACACGAAATTTGGCACGGACTTATCAATTTTTCGTGCCAAATAGCTCGTTCCAAAGTGTTTTTGGCACGGATTTGGCGTATCGTACTAGTAATATATATCACTCCCTTCGTTCCCGTACAAAGGTTCTCACGCGGTTTACGATGTTTGACTGATCATAAAGTTGATTGATTTATGTCTATAGTAAAATTATTTTTAGTAAATAAAATTTACATATTCACAAACCACATTAAAAGTTTTATAAAGTAGCAATAAGAATACTCAAATTTGATAAAGAAAAAATATATAAACGAGTACTAAATAAAAGATTAGGAAAATAGTAGACATGAATCTTTATACGGGATGAAGGTAGTACGGAGTATTATACATACGGTGATAATACATACTCTTTGAGTTGCGTAGCCTTTTCTAATAGAAATAACCGGTCGTGCTCTCCCCATATAAGCAACACTTCCTGCATGCATGCATATTATACTATTCAGTCCTGCTATTTTTACCCCCCTTATACCCATCACTATGAAGGCATTTTTTGTTTGTGAATCCTATTCATAGACAAAATGTCTTATTTTGTCTATGCAAATTTACACAGACGAGATAAAACATATTTTGTCGGTGAACGAGATTCACACACTGCACACACACACAAAACATTCACATTGGTGGATATAAAGGTGGTATAAAGACGAATACAAATATCATTTTTGTATACTACTCTCTCTGTCTCATTTGACCTGTTATACTTTTCTTTTTGGGAAAGAAATGTGTGATTCACAACATTTCACTTTATTATACTCAAATTTGGACCACGACTTTTACCTTTTCAACTACTTTATTAATAATTGTGTCAAAATTAAATGAGACACGAGACGAACGAAGTATTATACTCGGTAGTACGTACTCCATCGGGTCAACGCAATATGATTCGATCTCCATCTTAAATGAATATATATTTGGATCAACAAAATGCATATAGGATGATAAAAATACATACTTCCTCTTGCTATAAGTTTTTTATTTTCTCATTTAATTTCCTTTCAAGAAAAATTGTATGGTTGGTATTGTTTATTTCTTTTTTTTTATCAGTCACAAAATTTTAATTTCTTTGTAATTATGTGCCAATTCAAGATAATTTCATTTTCTTAGCATATATGCGCAGTATAAAATAAAAAAATGTGTGGCCCTCCCATGCTTATTCCGATTCACTAAATTGGGCACGTTTGGATTCTGGCGTTTCGCCATCCAATTTGCAGCGTTTCACGTTTTATGTGAATGGCGGTTTGGACTCGAATGCCACTAGCCAAAAGACCGCATTGGGGGTGTTTGGCAAATGGCTAATGGCTGTTTGTTGATAGCTGATTGTGTTGGTTGATTGATAACATCGGATTCTGTTGGTTGTTTTAGTCATCCGATACTATTAACAGTTTGTAAAATGATGTTCGGTTAAATGGTCGCTTTCAATCAGCTGATAACTTCTCAAATGACTTTTAAGGACATCAATTAATTTTTTATTTACTAAGTACTTTTACGTACATATTACAAATTTTGTTAGTTATTTGCATTTAAAAAAATGTCATAAATTTCTTTCTTTCAAAAGGAAAACTATTTACGTGACTAGCCCCATAGCCGTATTTATGATTTACAAAAACTAAAAAATATTGTCAAAAGCAACTATTCTTTTAGCAGGAGCTGTTGCATGTTGGTATAAATAGGAGCAAAGCAATTGGAATAAAAAGAAAAAAAGAAACAAATTTATAAAGCAGCCAAGATGAATTGACGTAGAAGGTATGGGTAGATTAGGAAAATTGGGCAAAAAGGTGAATCGGCTAATCCTAAAAGCTAAGTTTTGTAGCTTGTTAAATTTTGACTATTTAGATAAAAAGCTAAATAAAAAAGTCATGTAACCAAACACTCCTATTAGCTGGTTCATCTGGTCAAAAAGTTAAATGTTGGTCAAAACGGCAAAAAAAATGGGTGATAGGCCATTAACCAAACACTCCATAGACGGATAGACCCATAGTGGCGCCGTAGGAAGCCGGATTGCCCCAATATCCGGTGGCAAAGTGGCCGGATATATAGTAGTAGCACGTGGTTGACTCGACGGCGAAACACGAAATTTTCTGGTGATTATTGATGTAACGATCATTATTGATGTGATCGATACTAATCAAGTGTGCAATTACTAATACGAATATATACTTTCTGGTAACTTTAATTGTACATCAAATTTTAATTTGTACTCACACGAAGTACGGCTGTACGGAGTATATAACTTGATCATTTTGTTCTGTATCATACTTTTTTTAAAATGTGTCATACCCTTCTTAGAATACTCAAAAACGTATTTTTAGAAGAAAGATGCATGAGTAATTATCATACTCAAATCATGAATTTCTTGAACAAAAAGTAGCACAAGAGATAAAGAAAGGGATGCTCTATCAATAATAATTAAAATAGGTAGGTTAATCATTATTTAAAAAAAATAAGTTATCAAATTTACGACGTAATTTTGAATATGGCAATGCCAGTTAGCTAGGATTTTGGATCTTTGTAAAATATCTATGATTCTACAAAAATTCTATACGTACCCCAAAATGTACCCCATTTTGTACCTACCCCCTGAATTGCCTGTGTACACAAGCAATTCGTTTGAAAGAGGGCAGGACTTTCTGTCCAAATGTCTGTGTACACAGACGGTGTACAGATTGGGGTACCCCAAGCAGGACTCATGATTCTATAGGTAAGTTAGGTCATAGAGATAATTTCCCAAGTAGTACTCCGTAGTAAAATATGGAGAAAGTGTAAAAATTGGAGTAATTTTTAAAAATCCTCAAGTAGATGTATTCCTTGAAACTTGGATAAGGATAACTCTCCAGGATTTGCCGCCGGAGCTGCTGCCAGATGCCGGAATCCGCCGAAAATTTCCAGATCCAATATGACTCGTCGCCGGTTCCTAGAGCTCTGATGCCTCTGATCACCGCCGCCACCACCAACGAAATGGCCCGATTATGTAAGGAGACTGATGGAGTTTAATCCAACTACGAGAGCTAAATCTACGAAAGATATGAAAAGTCAAGAAGAATATGGCAGCGTAAGGCAGTATACTGTTATTCCGAAGGATGAATCGCGGATCGGATCCCTTAGAAGGGTGTTTACATGAAGTATTTATAGACTTTAGGAGTCATTATTCTAGAAGGAAACTAATACAATAAATGTTATTTAATTACATTCTTGCTCGAATGGAACTATTATCGCGCCTTGGATGTCAAGTAATAATTATCTCCTTCTTGTTCATGAATTCCGGTCGAGTCCTGCCTGCTGCCAAATAGCTATGCTCCAATGATAGCCTGCCATGTGAACCGCAGGAATATCCCAGCCTCGCTAGAACTCCGCCCAGGCTCGGGTCTGCTATGCAGCCCGGCCTGGCTGTGGGTTCCTATCGCGGGCCTGATTCCCAATGGGCCCAGCGGCTTATTGAGCACTAATCCCGTTTATGACTTGATCCCGTTTATGAGCTAATCCTGTTAATTAGGCTAATCCAGTCGAGGACTGATCCCGTTATGGGCTAATCCCGTTATGGGTTGATCCCGTTATGGGCTAATCCCGTTATGGGTTGATCCCGTTATGGGCTGAAATACGTAATTGGGCCATGGTCCGAGTCCATGGTACCATCAGAGACTAAGAAGCAATTAATTATATTAATTAATTAATTAGGGGTATTAAGGGTAGAATATTAATTTTCAATCTTGTTTAAGGAAGATTTAGTTTAGACTCCTATTTAAGGATATGGATTATGTTTTACTCATATTACGAGCAACTTCTTTAGATTATAGTAATAGAATAAAGTGAAATTAAAGATGACCTGTTGAAGAGGATAAACTTTGGGCGTGTTATCTCTTCCAATGGTTAATCCGTACAGCAGTTCCACCTTCTCGATCCTATTTTCTGTATATAATTTCTGCACAACATTGAAGGCTATGTGAATTAGGAATTGTTGAAATTATTTCCACACTACCAAACAAGTTAGTTCTTTGTGTTTGAGGTAGATAACATGAACATTTTTAATGGGATAATTGGAATGAAGACGCAACATTGGAAGACTTGGACTCGGATACAAGAAGTCATGATCCAAGGCAAAAATTAGTCCATCACCCACATTCATCCTACTATCAATAGGGCGGTTGAGTACTTGGCTTATAGGAACATATTTACTACCCTTGTACTCTAATCTTTTGAGTAGGCATTGATTTGGCCTCTTACTTATTATAATTTTCTTTCATCCTAATAAATTGGCAAGGTGTCCCCTGTCCTTGGACTACCATCAGGTTAAAAAAAGTAAGTTCTTTCGTTTTCAGTACTAAGTTTTATTGTATGTAAATATGTAACACACATTTATATACGTAGTACGTAGTATCTTACTACGTACTCCGTATATCATATCTGTATAACGCTATACCAAAAATATAATGAGTAACTTAAATTCGTATTTATATATTCGAATCCAATTGGAATTGCAATTCTCTATCAATTAAAATTTAATTTTTGCTATTAAATAGAAATTTTAAGTAAATACTCCGTACATAATTTTGAATACTCCAAAAATATAATTGGAGTATTTAAATTTGATTCAGATTTCAGAGATTGGTAGATGAATGTGAACAAAACATGTTCACACGTCAATTCTTAAAATCCCGATCAGAATACCATTTAAAGTGAGGGAAATAGTTGGTGAGATGGAGAGACAAATACTCAATTCCATATATGGGTTTTCTGAGATTTTCTAACTAAACAATGTGATAGTAGTAAATGAGAGTGATGGATAAGTTGAAAAGAAGCGACTGACTAGGGTGGTGCAGAGCAGTACGTCCAGATTAGGGCCGGACGAAAATATGGATGAAAACCCGAAGAAGTATGGATGAAAAATGGATGATGGGTGGATCGAAAGACGGGGTGGATCGGGTGTGGATGAAGGCTCATCCAACCCATCACCCGACCCGTCACCCGTTCCATCCACCCACGCGCTGACCCACATATAAGTATATAATATATAATATATTATATCTATAAGCATATAATATATAATATATTATATCTATTTAATAATACTACGTATATACTAATAATAATAGTTAATTGGTGAAACAAAGATAATTGGAGAGCTTCAAGAAGTGACAGTTAAATGACAAATAGTTTTGTGCCGATACATAAATGCAGAATTTAACAACTTGAAGAATTTTTATTTCTATTTTGTTTAACATTAAGTTTTTCTTTATCATTGGCAGTGAATTAATGATTGGAGTACTTAATTGCTCATGTTTTTGTTGTTATTTTACAATGAATTCTTAATTTTTGGTTTTTAATTGTCATGATTTCTCTTTGTAATTTATTTATTTTGTCTCAAGTTTGACCATTTATATTTCACCCGCTACTCACCCGATCCACCCGATAATCCGTTCAAGATGGATGGGTTGGATGTGGATGTAATTTTTAATGGATGATGGACGGGTGGGTGGAGTATAAAAAATTAACGAGTGGACATGGATGAGCCTCCACCCGGTGAAAATCTGACCCGCTGCCACCTCTAGTCCAGATTGTCTGTTCAATTAAGTTTCCGAGCCCAACGGACAGTGTCGGTTGATCCAACCGCCTCGAGTAGGTCGGGTTAGGCCGGATGCGCGCACTGGCAGAGCTAGAAAAACGAATCAGGGAGTCAAAAATCAACTATACACAAAATGAAAATGGTAGATCGTTTTTAGACGATATTCAAGTTGAATGTTTCATTTGTAGTTTAGAAAATAGACACTCGTAGCAATAAGATAGATTTTCTTTGTTCTGTTTCTGAATCATGTGACGTAAGCAATGAGTTAATTATACATCACTTTTAAAATTTGGGGAAATAATCAATATTAGCCGTCAAGTTTTGCTGATTTTACGTTTAAGTAGTGCTGATTTTTCACAAGTCATAATTTTTTACTCGTAACGAATTACAAGGATCATAATAATACTAGTATGTCAAAACGAAGATATTTCAAAGCTCTATACCCTCAAATATTCAGCCTGACTACCCTAACCCTTGGCTGAGCCCTGGATGCGCGCATAAGAAAAAAAAAAGAGGCCGCAGCCAGACTACTTACACGTATGAGATCGTTGAAAAGGAAATCCGGCAGGAATCTAGAAGGCGGCCGGAAAGTGCAGATCGATAGCAATTTCCGTAACTGCTCCGCCGTAGCCGGCAGCAGCACATCTTCTATCCTGTCCACTTTGGCCCTCTTAAACAGCCCCTCATTGTCCTGCTTCCTCAAGTTAATGGCCGAGCTCGCGATCACCACCTTCTCCACTCTTTCCGGCCACATCCTCGCCATGTGGTACGCCACGAATCCGCCGTAGCTCGTCCCCACCACCGAAAACTTTTCCACCCCCAGTTTCTCCATCAATTTCCCCACACACTTGGCCTGCAAATTAAATTAATTTTATTTATTTTTCAATATCTCTGATCACACTAAAATTGAATTGAATTAAATTAAATGGTGTGCTCATGTAGAATAATGTCTACCTACCTGGAAAACCTCCGAACGATCAGTGGATTTGGTTACGGATCGGCCGAAGAAGACGAGGTTGGGGACGAAGACGTTGCAATCGGAGGCGAAGAAGGAGATTTGGGGGTGCCACTGCCAGACGCCGTTTGGGCCGAAGCCGTGGATCAGGACCAGAGCGGGCTTCCCAGACGGCGATGAAGTCGGGTTCGGGCCCCAAAAGTGGAGAGTGGTTTCGTCATCGATATCCAATGATTGCGGAGTGAGGCCGGCGACTGAGAGGCACCGCCGGATGAAACCGCCGTACAAGGAGACTGGGCTGAGCCAAGCGGGTAACATGGCCACGACGGTATGGCGATGAAGAAGTGATGGAGAAGTTACTTCAGACTCTGTAGTCTACACTACAGAGATTAAATATTAAGGAGTTCTGCTCCAATGATTGGAGCATTCGGAGCAAGGATGGCAATGGGGGCGGGGGCCGTGGGGAACCGCCCCGTGGGGAGTTGGGGCGGGTGGGGGGAGATATTTTCTCCCGCATAAATATGGGGCGGGTGATGGGTTATGCACTCCCACACCGTCCCCGCATCGTCCCCGTAATAATTAATAATAATATTCTCAATAATAATACTAATAATAATAGTAATACTAATACGAAGTAATTAAAATAGCATGATGGCCCGGTGGGTTTAGTGGTTTCCTATCTAATGGATTGTGCCTAATGGGTCTCTCTAATTCTTGTTTAATAACTAAGCTATCTTGTAAAATTGCTTATCAAAATCATAAAGTAAAATGATTTTTTTAGGGATAAAGTAAAATGAATTTGGGAAAGTTATAAAGTGATATTAACTTAAACGCCCCAGGCACGGGGTGAAAGTTTTTTTCCTTTACTATTACAATGCATTAATTCTTTTCTTTTGAATGTCATCTTTATGATTGTAGTTAGAGCTCTTAAAATTTGGTGATCATAGGTCGTCCTAGATGCCGTCAAATGGTCATGATTAATTGAATGCAGGGTTTAAGAAAATATTATAGAGCTAATCAATGCTAATTTAGAGTTTGATAAAAATGACTAAATTAGAACGCGTATAATGTGTTCTAGATTTGAAATGAGATGTAAGATTACATTGACACTTAAAAAGTAAAAGTTTTTTTGGCTACTAGAAGTGTTGTTTATTTTTTGAAAAATTGTGAGTCTAAAATGATGTTAATTTTTGACGAGTACTTCCCCTGTTGGGTACCCGTGGGTCTAGCGGGTCGGGGCGGGGGATGGGGCGGGTCGAATAGTAGTGGGGGATGGGGTGGGGGTGGGGGCGATTTTTTAGACACGGGGCGGGAGATGGGGGAGTGAACCTCGCCCCAACCCCGCCCCATTGTCATCCCTAATTCGGAGCATACTTCCTCCGTTCTTTCTTAATTACAACGGTTCACTTTTCGCGCTTGCGAATGCACAAGTTTGACCGTTAATATCTTTTATTCCTTATTAGTAAAAAATTAAAATTTCAGATTTTGAAAATTTAAAATGAGAGGAATTTACATATATTTTTTTAAAATTTAATTGGTAATACATTAATAAATAAAATATAGTAAAAATAGAATGTGTGAATAGTGCAAAAAGTCATATGTTGGCATTAAAAGAGAATAGAGGTAGTACATAATTACATATACACAAGTCTCGTATGAAAAATGGTACTCCCTATCACTCGTAACTTGACAAGTTTTCATGGTGTCCCAAAAACTTTGTTATTTATTTTATCAATTAATTTGTGGATATTGAAAGGATGGATGAAATATTTTTAACAAGAAATAGATCTAAATGGGACTAAAACAAGAGTTGAAAATGTGAATAAGAGTTAAGAGTTTTTAAACCAAGAACAATTTATTTTTAACGGGTATGCGTCTATATTTTATCCTGTTTACCAGGATCCAGATCCGTTAGTATTTTTTAGGGAAAACTATCAAATAAGCACCTCTACTTTTCAAAAACATCAATTAAACCCTCCAACTAAAACTTTGTTCAATCAAGCCCTTAAACTCATTAAAAATGGCAAACCACTCTTTTTAACCGGTGATTGATGAACTTATTTAACCAGTTGTTTATCACTTTTCCCATTTTCACTTTTTTCCTCTATTTTCCTTTTCCTCTGCCGTTCTCCTTCCACCCTCCCGTTCCAGCTTTGTTTCTTTCTTTCCTGTCAATTTCTTCCTCAGCTCACACTTTATCTTCTCCTTCCATAGTTCTCTTCTAGCTAGCTGCCATGATTTTCCTTTACTTTGTTTTCTATTTACTTTATTTCTTTTTCTTCCCTCTTTTCTTCGCTTGTTATTTTCTTCTTCCCCTGCATTGAAACTTGGGTCACAGGGGATGGGCCAGTGAGATAGCGTCAGCGATGAGGACTTTCGCCGGTCAGCGACGGCGGTGCATCTATCTTCTCAGCCATGGCGGTGCATCCATCAGTTGGTTTCGCAGGACGATGTATCCATTTGGTCAGTCAGAACGGGGGTGATCAGAAGGAAACAAAAGAAAATGAAATAAAAAGGAAATGGGAAAACAGCCAAAAGCCGGTAACACGGTTCATTACCGGTTAAGAAGATTGGTTTGCCACTTTTTAATGAGTTTGAGGGTTTGATTGAACTAATTTTCAGTTAAGGGGTTTAATTGATTTTTTTGAAAAGTAGAGGAGCTTATTTGATAGTTTTCCCTATTTTTAATAAATGGGTCAGATATGATATATATTATTCGGACTCGTTAAAGACTAATAACCCTTTAAAATTTCTTATTAACATGTTTTCTTTTGGATTGTTTTCAATCCCAGACCAGACAAGATTAGATCAAATCAGACTTAAACAAACCAGACCATACCAGACTCAAACATACAAGACCAGATCAGACCAGACTTCCATAGTTATAATATACACAGAGACCAAACATTTACCATACCATACCAGTGCAGACCAGACCAGACCAAAAATTACAGTCCACAAAAAAACATTTGTAATATATATACACACACATTAATACATACCTACTGTATAAGTGATATTGAGACAGTGAGATGTCCTAAAACTCATACCCGTTTATAAATACTAATAAAGTATGTATTGAGTTCGGTGTAAAAAACCCAATTTTTTGTTATGATTAGTATTGTCAGACGTAGTAATGTGTGTAATGCTTTTATGTCCTCAGTAGTCCAAGAGACTATTTTGTGACCTAATTTCTAGTCTATTGTACGAGATTTCTCTACGAGAGTAGAGGTATACGCCTCTAGTATAACCTATCCTTTGGTTTGCGCACTTTGCTTTACATTTTGTGAGCTAGTTCATGCATTTTGCTTTACATTTCATATATAAGCCTTGTTATTTTCATAAAGTTTGTAATGTTGTGTATCTCATGTTTGGCGGGTCTACCCGACCCAGACACCCGGTTTTGAGACCTGTTGGGTCCAGATCCAAATTTTAGGACCCGCCGTGTATACCGGTCGAGTCCGGACCCTTTATTAGCTTAGCGGGTTCGGGTATGGAACACTACGTTCCGGTCAGGGTCGGACCCTTTGGCGACCATGAGTCTTTGGCGACTGGATTTATAAATAGAGCGATCTTTCTCAATTGTTGGAGGTCCCTGAAGCGTTTACTGTAGCTGGTTGTCGCTGGAGTGATCGCCGACGCGAGTTATGTCGCCGCAGACGAGTCTCCTCCTCTTCCTCTTTCTCCCCTCATATTTCTTTTATCGAGTTCCTGTGTGCGCTATAGTCTCTCTTGGTACGTAGTTTTACTTTTCAATATCTTAGTTAATCGTATTACTTTCTAGACCTGTTTTACTTTTCAATTTCTTAATTATTATATTACTTTTACTTTTTGCATTTTTATTTCATTTTTCAGATTGAAATTGTTGTTTTGAAAATAGTTTCATTTTTTGGCAAACCTTTTTCATTGATAGTAAAATGATAACTGTTGTGACAGTGTTAGTAATTTAATATCAATACCATTGTCATTGTGTTGCTAGATTTTATTGCATTGTTTTGGACAATGTCATGAAATTACTTTATTAAAGTTTACTACAATGTTTATTACAATGACATGAAATTATAAAGGTAAATTTGCAATGACATGCTGACTATGCCATTATAGGATAACATAATAATATCATTGTTTCAAAAGTAATATCATTGACATAAATAAAAATGGCAATGTATGTCACTATATTGTCTCTATTTAACAACAATCATAAAATTGTCATAATATCATATCATTGAAAACATATGGGGACATTATTTACTGTAAAAACAGAGCGAGTCCACGAGAAAATGCAATTGTTATAAAAAAAACATCAAAGTAAAAAAAAAAATCAATATCATTAAAACAATGTCACAATGTTAAAAATAATGTCAATTGACCGAACATGTTGGCAATGTCATTATATGATAATAATCCATATAATCATTGTTTAAAGTCAATGCCATACATTAATGATAATGTAATATAATGTAATTGTTTAGTAAAAAATCAAGGCTAAAGGGTCAAATTGGCCCCTGTACCTATTCGGAATGCTCAATTCGCACCCTGAACTCAAAAAAGCTTCAATTCACCCCCTGAACTCAACAAAAAGTTCAAATCCCACTTTTTGCAAGTTAATTTCCGGTCATTGTCACGTCAGCCGGTTAGATGTCAACCGTGCATTCCAATGATACTTTCATAAGAATGTACTTTCTAAATGTTTTTAGGAAAAGGCGAGAGTACTATATAAAAAGTGGGATGCAACATTGGGAAATTACATTTAGAAAGTACATTCTTATGAAAGTATTTAGAATGTACATCATTGGGATGTACATTCTAATGAGAGTACTTTCAATGTTCCTCGAGTACATTTAGAATGTACTTTCAAATTGATGTAATTAGAAAAAGGCGAGAGTACTATATAAATGTTCGCAAAATGCTAATGTTGTAACCAACAGAAAAATAAACAATGTGATCGTGAAAAATAATTAGCAAGTAAATAGTAAAATTAGAATACTGCTTCCAAACCCTAAATGCTCCTGCACTCCATGGCGGCGGTTCAGAAGGAGGACGGTCCAACAATATTGTCTCATCTTCCTCTCATTGCCTCCGATCCAGATCTGTTCCAGCCCCTAGCCACACGCTTCTTCCATGTCCTTCTGATCTCAACCATGAACGGCATCCTTGAAACTCTCCACCTGATGCTACAGGTACACAACCTTTGGCCTCCATATAGGCACTGCGGTCTGCCGAAAAAGAGAGCCCGATGAAAGGCGGACGAAAGGCGGACGAAAAACACAAGAAAGTCGCATTTCGTCGGAGACGAAATCGGAGAAAAACAACCCCTGACTCTAGGGAAAACGACCGCCTATAGAGAGAAGCTTTCGTCCAGAGAGAGAATATATTAAGGTTTGTTTTTTGTAAAAATTGCGCAGTTATTTTTTTGAAGGAAATCAGCTTATATAAATAAACAATAAAAGTTCAGAATATGGGTCAACTGATAAAACGAAAATTGATAACCGCCATCCCTCGAATCAGACTCGGAATTAATCGCCGTAGCAATATAATTCGCTGATCCATAACCGGGAAACAATAAGCCTAACTCGGTTACCAAGTTCCTCTCATCTCCCACATTCAAAACCAATGTCTTACAAAACAAAACATTAAACCAAAAACAAACTCTAAATTTAACTAAACAGAAAACAAAGCAGAATAAAAAGCATCCTTCATGCTGCCGGACAACAAGAACCAAGCCACCAGCATTCGGCCTCACACCTTCAACCAGTGCATCCGGCGGGCTTAAGGATCTAAGTCCGCCTCCTCCCCGTTTTTTGTCCCATCAGTGGCCATATTGTCTTCTTCTGGATCTTCCTCTGTCTGGACCTCCCATATCTTCCTTCTTTTGGATTCCTCTTCCTTAGGCACCTCGCCTCCTCGCGTGAAACTTTGAGCAAATTCAGTCATTGCCTCCTTTACTGGGCCGGCTCCCGATTTGCCAGAGCTCGATGAGCCCTCCAGGAATCCAGCTTGCTCTCCTGTTGGGCTGGTCTTCACCCCGCTCCCTGCTCTAAGATGAGATCCAAATCTTTTTTCCAAAACCAAACTTTCTTCATAATTCAGAGGGCAGAAATTATCTGAGTGACCTACCATCCCACAGATAAAGCAAAAGGTGGGCAGTCTTTCATATTTAAAGTCCACCCAAAAACTTTTGCCCTCTTTTTTCAAGGTTGTCCCTTTCTTTAGAGATTTATCCATCTTCATAAGAACCCTAACTCGCATGTATGGCTCAATTTTTTCTTTTTTCTGATAATCATCATATTTGACAAACTCTCCTAAAAAATTCCCAACACGTCTAGCAGTGCCTAGGTTGACCAAACTATAGGGAACATTATGAATCTGGACCCAAAATTCAGCCTCATTCATAATGATTTTGTGTGGTATATCATCAGGCAAAATATCTTTAAGCAAGATCAAACTACGTTCATACTGCCAGAGACCCCCATCCAGAACATGTTTCATATCGAAGCGAAAAGAAAACAGATACCTCCTATCTCCGATTTCCTTAATTGACATACCTTTTCCTGGCCTCCAGAGAGTAACCAGCTTCTCCTTAAACTCCGCGAACCAAACCTTGCGATCAGTCAAGACTTGCCCGAGCACCGGAAAGCCCACCGCCACTTCCTCCACCGGTACGTCCTCAGCCTCCCCATCGTCCAGGTTTATCTCATTCTCGTCGTCTTCGATCTCCATCCGCTTGTATCGATCAACAACGTTTTCCATGAAGGTATGGAAGCCTCTACCGGAGTCCAAGATCGATGGACCAAAAGCCCTGCCTGCTACCGTCCGAACAGCCTGGTTAAATAACCAAGACCGCCGCCTCTACTACCAATCCGAGACCACCGATCACCAAACCAATCAGCTACACCACTCCGCTCGCCGCTATCCTAACCAATAAACTCGCGCTTCGAAAAACAAAGGCGGACAAACCAAGACGTAGGGTTATCGGCCGATAACCCTCTCCCTAGATAAGTTTCAGATAGTTTCAACTCAAAAAATTGCGCAGTTATTAGAAAATGAGATTATATTAACCATTATTAAGTTTGATAAAGTAAAAACTAAAAAATTATGAATGATAAGGTAGCGGAGTATAAAATATTAATCGTCGCCTGAGAGATTCGAACTCTCGCGGGGAAACCCCATGTACTTAGCAGGCACACGCCTTAACCACTCGGCCAAAGCGACTTACGAACCATTCGATTTACTTATAGTTCATGTACTAACTTACTACTACTACCTAATGGAAGCGTATGCATTGCTTCTTATAGCTTTACAGAGAAGTCCGGAGCAGAGCAAAATCTCTATGGTGCATGTTTTTTGGGCATCTATAATCCGAGATATCTCTGAGTCTCTGACACAAACGGAGAAGGAAAGGCATGGCAACTATGCAGGCGGTGATGGGCAACCTTACAACGATGGAGCGGCAAGTGTTAACGGCGGTGAATACCGGCGGTTCGAGCCTGTCTTTGGTGGGGTCCGGATTCATAGCGTTGTGCTATTTGCTCTTCAAGGAGCTCCGAAAGTTCTCCTTCAAGCTCGTCTTCTTCCTCGCCCTATCCGTACTCTTTCAATTTCTTTACTTTTCTCCTTCAAAATGCCAACTTTATTTATTCATTGTCATCAATAGTAGTGTTCAAGTTTCTAGGGTTTTGCACTGCTTACTCTGCTCATACATCTTAAACGGAAAGCGGAAAAATAAAACAAAATTGGAATATCTCTGTAAATTGAAAACTGGAAAGTTTGTTAGCAACTATCTGCACATATAGGTTTAAGTCAGCAAGTCTCGGTCTTTCAATACCAACTTAGCTTTGAACCACCAGCTTGCCATAGGTGTGATGGGTTATTATTGAATACTAGGATGGTTTATTATTGAATAATTGAATGGGCTCCTTTTTTTGTAAAAAATAAAAAAGAAATTATAAATTCTTGAAACATGTACCATACTAATTGTGCATGTTTGGTTGGTGTGAGCCATTGAATCGCAGGAGAATCGTAATAATAAATGCAATTAGTTTATTTCTTCATATCTACTGTGGTTTAGTTGTATTTTCGTTATTTTGAGTGTTTTCTTTATTCATAAGATGATGATTAGCTGTGTTTCTTTTGGGAAATGAACAATAAATTCATCACATCAACTTTTGTTGTAGGATATGTGCTGCAGTTTCTTCAGCATAATTGGGTAAGAACGTTTTGTGTGTGTACCACTATAGGTTGCATTCAGTCTTCTCTTATCAGTTGTGGATGTGGGTTGCTGAATTGATGTTTGGTTTCTTCTCAGGGATCCTTCCAAAGGATTCTTTTGTTATGTTCAGGGTTATACAACACATTTCTTCTGTGTAGCTTCTTTTCTTTGGACTACCACAATTGCTTTTACCCTTCACCGAACTGTTGTTAGGCATAAAACGGATGTTGAAGATTTGGAGCCTGTCTTTCATTTATATGTTTGGGGTACTGGTTTTTTGTTTGCTTAGACAGTAAATTATTTGTTTATATGTGTGGGGAACTGTTTTTTGTTTGATTAGACATCAAATCATTTGTTTTCTATTATTTTGAGCTTTTATATTTTTTTTCATGCAATGTTCTTGTATCACACATTCATAACTAAATATGTTTATTAAACTACTTGCAGGAACTTCAATTGTCATGACAGTTATACGCTCTATTGGCAATGACCATAGGCATATAACTCGTCTAGGCACCTTGTGCTGGGCACAAAGTGGGCGTGCAGCAAAGGTAAGTTTATGTAATCTAGCTACTATAATTATTTTATTACCTACTTGTTATTTACTCATTCATTAATATATATTCATTCATTCATTCATTCGTTGATTTATCAATTGTTTGTTTCTTTGTTTCCTTGTTTGTCTGTGTATTTATTTCACCAACATTCAATTTGGCTGAGGGTCAATGCTTCCAGAATGCATTCTCTAGATTAGGCTCTGTTTGATTGCAGAAAAGTAAATCGTTCTTTCTTTGGAAAGTGGTTTCATGGGAAATATGTGGTTCTATTTAGAATTTATGTGATGTTTTCTATTTCAATAGAGGAGTCATTTTCCATAAAAAATTAAAGAATGAAATTCCTAGTTGCCTCATGTAAAATATTACTCCGTATCTTTCTTGAACAAGGCAAACAGAAATAATATGAATTTAGTCCAAGATACCCCCCCCCACTATTCATAATATAATGTGCAAGTCCATACTATCAAATTGATGTATTTAAAACCCTATTCCTCGATAAAATTACTTTTGGAAAGTCAACAACAACATCCAAGTTTTAATCCCAAAAGATTTTGGGGTCGGCTAACATGAATCGATCCATGATATCGATGCTAAAATATTTGGAAAGTCAACATTAAAGAAAAATTTAAGCGGAACGATTCGGCTTGGCCTTACAATGAACTTCTTCCATCCTTCTCCATGGCTCCTCCTTTTGTCCTATTGGTAGCTTTTGTATATTTCTGTGCTGACTATAAATGGTTATGCTTAGCAGATGCAGTGGATTGTATTAAGTTATGGGAATGGTTATTTAACGTGCAAAAATATAAATTATTCTCACTGCAGGCAGTTCACTTTGCTACTTTTTATGCACCTCTTTGGGCTGCAATCCTATTTAATGGCATCACATACTTTCAAGTAATTCGGATGCTTAACAATGCAACTCGTGTATGTTTCAATTTCACTCTTGTGTCTCTTGATTTAGTTTATGAAAGTCCAAAATGAGATATTCAGTATACCTATTTACGTTTTATGCTCAGATGGCAGCTGGCATGTCAGATGCACGGACAGATATGAAGGTATGCTGAGTTTAACAGCCTGTTTGGATGAAGGCGCTGTCTATTCTCTTCCTATTTCATTATTCCCAATGAAAAAAAGAGTCCTATGTTTGGTTGATACCAATATGCCATGTTTCTCTTTCTTGGAGATTGTTTTTCTTCAACTCAGACCATGCAGATGCAAGAAAAAAGAATATGTTAAGACAATAACACAACCTATTGTATTACATTACAAAGATAGGCCCTCAACATACCTTAACACAGTATGGGGGTGGAGACATAAAATTCTCTTCTAAAAGTGACAATTGTGAGAGAACATGATGGAAAGTAAGTATGGGCCCCATTAGATAATCAAAATGGTCCACTTATAGCGCTTAACCCGTATGAATATAGTTATTCAATTAAATGATCAGTTCAACCAGGCGGCTGAACAAACCAAAATCTAGGTTTCGAACGGTTTTACTTTAGAGAGGCTTGACAAGAGTTTGTCTGGAAAAGCAGAACGGTCTACATGTCTTTCAGTTGTTTCATTAACTAGCAAATATTCTGTAATGGGCAGCCTTAACAGCTTTCATCTGATAGTAGGTTTAAGGATTTATCCGTTGGAGGACCCCTATAAATAGTTAGCTCTATCGTGAGAAAAGTACATTCATTCTTACATATTCATTCTGAAATACAAAAAGCTTTCGTTCTCTTTTATTCATGCTTTTTCTTACATTTTGTTATTCGCTAATCCTCTTACCTTCAATTCCATAATGAAATTAACAAGGATAATTATGTCTTTATCATGCACCCTCACTTTGATTTCTTATGAAACTCTTTCCCATTTCTCTCCATCCAAACAACTTAATAAATTCTACTTATTATCTATCCTCTTATTTTCTGCTCTTGTCCTTATTTATTTCTTCACTATTACTCTTCCTGTCTGAACAGAGCATAAAATCTACTCTTCATGAAATCTGCAAGTATAGTTTATCGACATATGGAGTGCTACACCAGCCGTCATTACAAGCAATTTATTTTCATAGTTCCTGTTGTTGCGAATTTCCATGGTTAACATATTGCTTCAATTTTGAAGGATTGTTGAGTGTAGTAAAATACTCCGTTTCTCAGTGTTATGTGTGTCTGCTTATTTCATTTAATTTGCTTAATTTTTTTCCTTGGAATGGCTATTAACTATATTTTGCCTTCACATTTAACTTCCTATGATAGGCGCTCAACCGATGGGGATACTATCCACTTATTCTGATAGGTTCATGGTTTTTTGGCACAATAAATCGCATACATGACTTTCTTGAGCCAGACCATAAAATATTTTGGCTTTCAGTACTTGACGTTGGTATGGCTGCACTAATGGTTAGTTTATACTTCTAAACAAATCCATATCCTATTTTTTGGCACATCAAATCTGAGTCATATCATCTTAATTTTAGATTTGAAAATAATAGTTTTAGCCCTTGAACTGTAACATATGCTCAATTTTATTCCTCAAAATACTGGCCATCCATTTCCAGTCACTTAATTTCCCCCGATGTGGCCCATTTCCATAATAAACTCGAAACCATAATGGATGTGAAAATGCCATTTTGACGGAAACTAGGGGAGTGAAGGTGGAGAGTTCAGTTATTCAAGGACCAGGAGTGTACCGATGGTATGCCAATGGTATAAGTGTATAACTTGGGGACAAAAAGTGCCATTTTCCGTTTATATTTTACAAATAATAAATAATCATGGCTTTTAATCCTTGTCTTTTCTTTTAGCAACTTACCAAGTATTGGCTTTATACTCTTTTCTTTCTGCACTTGTGAATAGGGTCTCTTTAACTCAATAGCTTATGGCCTCAACTCATCAGTGCGTCGGGCAATTTATGAAAGATTGGACCTGTAAGTCTGACCTTGACTCGTATTTATATTTAGTAAAAATACCTTTTATGAAAAGTGCATCCAAACGACCCATTAGTATATTTCTTGTTTATGAATATTTGGGTTTATCCAGATTGCCAGAATGTGTGCGGAGATGGCTCCCCAAGAGTTTCAGGTCAAGGGGGGGACAACAGCAAGAGGGTGAACTAATTCCACTAAAAGTTGAGAACCAACGATTGTGAAAGTGGAGGGTAATGTACTAAAAACCAGTGATAAATCTGTTCGTCCAGGTCCCCAAGACTATTTTTAGACAGGACTAAAAACCAGTGAACTATTTTTTGCTCTTGTTTGTGCAGAGATGATAAATGGTTGGCTCCAAGACTCGTTTTTTGCACATTCAATCTTTCCTTCGGGTTCTTTGGTCCATACATCAACACAGATGTTAAATCTGAATCAACAGCCTCTCTTTCTTAATGGATTGCGAGATGGTTAGGTTACTCTGATCTACTGGGAATCTTTACAAGATGCGTGGGTTTAGGATTATCATCACACTTTTGAAGGCAGCTGCAGTTGGCTATGGCGATGATCTTAATGAAGATTAATGACTTTTCTTCCGACATTATGCGCTTTTCAAAGTTTCATGCTTTTTCCTCCATTCTTCTGAAAATTTCTTGTATCTTATCGTATGTTGTACCCTTCGCAGGTTTAAATTTGTATGCACCCTGCTGAATATCCTACAATTATGTAAGATGAAGTCTTTATTTCACAATGCCATAATAGAAAGCAGAAAAGCCTTATTTAGCAGCTCAATTGGCAAAATAAAATCACTATGACCATTTAACTTCTCGAGTACTCATTTTTGGAAATTTATCGAAAAATAAGGTCAAACGTAAGAATAACTTCTCAGACTATGCAGTATGCACAAACAGAAGTACAGAACCATTATGTTTCATATGTAAATAAGTAAATTTAGTAAATGGATGGACGTAACCTTTAAACATGAAATTCCAATAATAATTAATTTTACGACAAAAAAGTAGAAAATAACTTCAATCATTTGCCACCATCGTCAATTTGATGAGTCTGTGAGTCTATATCCATGATCCATCTCCACCAGCTTCCAATGACCAATGCCACGTTGTGATAACAAGCATCAGAGATACAGAGCCCACACCTTGGTTATTGATGTATTTTAGCAACTTCCATTGTCTGAAGTACTTCAATATGGTGTTTTTATGCAGTGGATGTGAGAATAAAGCTGGTGATGATATTTTATCAGTGTTAGAATATGTTGTGTAGTTGTAATACTTAAAGACTAGTCATGGACCCGGGCCGGTTCCGGTTCCAGGCCAAGCCCGGCCGGGTTTTTTTTGGGGAAAGAAGATCCGGAACCGGCCCGGATAGGCACTGGTTCCGGGCCGGGCCGGTTCATGTTATTTTTTTTTTAAAATTTCTTTTGCTTTTCTAATTAACCCCCCACCCCCAACCCCCCCCCCCCAAACACCCAGACCAACCCGGGAGAAACCAAAAATTTGAAAAAACCAAAAAAAAAAAACAAAAAGAAATAGGCCGGGCCGGTTCCACTTTTAAGAGGCCCGAGCCCGGCCCGATTAATTCCGGGCTCGGGTGGCCCGGACCGGTCCTATAACCGGGTACCAGGCCGGGCCAGGCCCAAACAGTACCGGTTCCGGGCCGGGCAGCCCGACCCGAGTCCAGGACTACTTAAGACATCTCCTAGGAGTGTGAATCCTAGTGAAGTGACATAGGAGAAAGATAAAGACAAAACCAATGTTTTAATATGATGAGAACTGATCTGACAAAGAAGATTACCCATATATGTGCACATTATCCATATCGGCCTTTTGTCCTCAACATTACAAAAATGAGGATAAAAGATAAAAATGTGACCTCTTTTTTTATATTTCCAAAATGTAATAAACTTCACAATTATACCCTGCTGTGACAAAGTGACTTTGGATACGTGACTCCGGCCACGTGACTCCGACCACAGTGACTGTCCGTCAACCGGCCACAATGACTGTCCGCAGACCGGCCATAATGACTGACTCCAGCCACAATGATTGCCGCCCACCGGCCACAGTGTCACACCGACTCTGACAACACTAACATGTTGTCTCCGTCCATAATGACACGTCGTCTCCGGTATCACAACCCATCCCTCCCCTGCTCCTCACAAACCACTTGACCCCGTCCCTAGCAAACCCCGCTAGGGTTGGACTCGGCCCGGGCGGCCCGAACCAGAACCGGCCCGGCCCGGTCACTGTTTGAACCGGCCCGGCCCATGGGCGGTTCGGGTCGACCCGGCCCGGTGGCTACCGGTTCCGGGCTCGGGCCTTCATTTTGGTGAACCGGCCCGGCCGGTTCGGGCCCGGTCCGGGCCGAATTTATTTATTTATTTATTTATTTATTGAATTTTTTTTAAAGTTTTTGGGTTGGATTGGGTATTTTGGGCCATTTGAGGTGGTTTGGGGTTGAGGGGGAGGGTAGGGGGTGATTAGGAAAACCCAAAAAAAAAATTATATAGAACCGAACCGGGCCCGGCCGGTTCAAGGCCCGAACCGGGCCTGGCCCGGAACCGGTCCACCCCTAAATCCCGCCCTAGTTTCGCCGCCAACCATCACCACAGACCACCGCCGCTGACCATCACCACCGACTGCCGCCGCTGACCATCACCACCGACTGCCGCCGCTGATCATCACCACAGACTGCCGTCGCCGCCGACCGCCGCCCCAACCCGGCTTGACTCCCCAGCCCCCAACCACCTCATCAAACCACGACCAGCACCCCAAACCCCAGCCCCACCAAGGGATACCACGGTCATCCCCTTCCTTTTCCCCTACCCAAGCCTCCGTCCGCCACCTCCCCTGCTCCTTTCATAAATGTCACCCCTTTCATGTCCACGACTGCAGCTGCCCCCCTCCCCTGGCCATCACCGCCCCTACCCCACCCCTACAAATCAGATTCGTTACTACCCACCAGCCCCACCAGCCTGCCTTAGCCCTCCACACCAGCTCCCAAGCCCCCACTGGCCACCCCACTCCCTATACCCAGCCCCACCGCATGTCCTACGCTGAGGCCCCTTTCCTACATCGACAACGGCGGATTCGGCACCGTCGACCCAAATCAAAGTTGTGATACATCGAGGTTGGCAGTGTGGCACAACTGGCCCCAAATTGGAGTCGTTGTCCATAGAGGATGGCAGGTACCGGTAGCACTCCATCGAGAGGACGAAATATGCAGAGGAACGTCCATCGAAGACGACAGGAAAGCAGTCAAAGAAGAAATGAGAAGAATTACAGGACAGCGACAACGGAGAAGAGGTTTGGCCTAGGTCTTCTCCTTCAATTTGATAGCTACGTACAATTGCAAAGAAGATAAGTGAAGCAGTGCAAGGTTACGGACCATGTATCACTTTTTTGTCTTTTCAAAAATTAGTCATATACTCATATTTGTGTCCAAGCAAACCTTAGAAGTAATAATTTGGCCATTTTTTCTATTCAAATAGGACATAGGAAAGGAAACCCATGCACGTGCTCCGTATTGAAATGACAAGAATACATTCACCTACAAATTGAAAACAAATCATATTTCAGCAGCAACTAGAACTCTGTTATAGGCAGAGTTGCCTACCGTCTAAATTGTGAAAATGGAATACTACACAGCTTGCATGTACAGCTTCTTATACATGTGTTTTATTAATTTATTTATAAGAATAGAAGTAATAATAATAAGAATATAATAACAACAGCGATTATAACTATAATTGTAATAATAATAACAATAATAGCACCAGGTGCTTAGCAACAATAAATCAAGGGACCAGCACCATTTCTTTGCTTGAAGCCTTGAAGGTATGCACTTCTTCGCCCTCTAGTTCAAAATAAGATCATTGCCACCAAGGTGGGGATGAAGGCAAACCCGCACTTCATGTTCTTCCGATCCTTCTTGAAGCTTAGGCACCAGAATCTCAAGCACCGTCCCCGAAGCATCAAAGTAAGCTTCTATGTTAGCATCTTCAGGGATTCGGGTAGAAAGTGGGATTTCCCTCACAAACTCTCCCGGAGGGCAGTGTTCGGCAGACAAGTCCGCGAGCTTGAAAATCCTTTTCTGCCTCTTGATGAACGGCATGCAAGATACACTCGTGCAAGTTACCTTGACTATGCCGTGTGTAGGTGTGTTCCTCCACGAAACTTTCACCCTCTGAGGATCCACAAACGGGAGACTGATCAGGACCAAATACCCTTCGCAATCTTCATAAATGCTCTTTGCACCCGTGACGGGCCCATACACGCCGCGCATAACCCCACTAAATTCATCCAACCAGTGCGGGTGGTGGCCCACTTCCAAGTCAGCCACCGTGATCTGATCAGAGGATTCGGGCAGATAACATACGTCTTGGGGTAACAACATGTCCTTTTTCCTCTTGCTGCTGCTGTCAGGTGAAATATCCATGGCATCACCATTAGTGTGGTTCAAAGGTGGTTGAGTAGCAGTAGCCAGGTTAAGACCGGAGGAGCATCTGAGTGACTGCAACAATTTCTTAGACTTAGTATTCGGAGGAGGCTGCTGGTGGGGCCGTTCAAGCTCAAACTCAGTGTTTGGCAGGTTTCTCCATGAACCATAATCGCTTGCTTCAGGAGGGATGGTGAAGTCGAGGTCCCGTCCCGTGAGCTCCACCCATCTCTTCTGATCTTCTTCGTCTAGGACAGCCATTAGATTTGGCGAGTGGACGACCTCAACCCCGTGGACACACTGTGGGTTCGACAGTCCCCTGTAATGCTTCCTCTGCATCCGATGGGACCGCACAAAGCCTTTGTCGACGCTGAAAGGAAAAGGACGCTCTCCTTGGCGGGAATGTCCGTTCATGTAGCTCCGCAGTTGCATCTTGCCCAGCGCGTTCTCTGGCCTTTCCTTGAAAACCCACATGTACATGTTCTCCATGTCGTGCTGGACCATGAACACGTCCAGCTGGAGGTCAGACTTATCAAAGCCGGAAACCCCATTACTGTCCCGCACGACTTTCGCTTTTGATTTCTCGCTGAGAACCGGCCTGAAGTAAAAACTGAAGAAGAACCAGGCGCCCCAGATGCTATCAACTCGTTTTGCGCATTTCCGACCCACCACCATTTTTGGCACCACATTCAGGAAGCTTTCAGTGGTTTCATATGTTTGGGTTCCCAACCCGACATCTAGAATCTCACATTGTTGTTGTTCGAGGTTCCACAATGGGTGCGGAGGAGGGCTCTGCTCAGATGATAGAGGTAAATTGATGTCGGGTGGACGGGTTATGATGACCTGGCGGTTCCTTTCGAGTTCTAGATCATCATGCGAAGAGGAGGCACTGGAATCCATGGACAAAAGGGTCGAAGGGTGACAGTGATTCTCCATTGACAGTGCTGTGAGAAGAATATCCCCACCCATCTCATCAGCTATTATTATCACCGTAATTGAAGATCAGCTGCCTAGTTAAAGGCTAATCTTTACAAGCGCAGTTTCCCGGACTTCATCTGCCTCCACAGCCACCACTACTCCCGAATTGAAATAATCCAGATTCAATAGGTTGTATAACACCATGCCTGGGTCTTTTTTTTAATTTTCTTCTCTTTTCCCCTCTCAAACAAGAGTGAGATTTACATATGATTAAACTACAACTGCTACTAATAAAACAAGGGCCAGCAAAGATGGTAAAAAATCATGTATTTCTACCCAGATTAATAAAAAGGGAAAAACAAAACTACGGAAAGATGGAAAAGAGCAGATACATCCC